CTGTAATTGCTTAATTGTGTAACAGCCGCAAGTGGCGTCAACTCGAGTCGGTCGAGGGTCGATGACGGCGAAGACGATGACGGCGGTAGCGACGGCGTCTGAGGAGCAGGGACAGGGGGGCGGGGATCCGGCAGCACAATTTACGTACGCCACCCGCGAGTGGACGATTCTCAGCGAGTTTCGCTTTCATCTGCTTCTGACGCTTCGGCAATTTATTCGGAAATGTACTCGGGCTCGGATCGTTGATGAAAAACGCTCGTGATTTTAATATTTTGGCGCGATTTTAATTAAAATGGCTTCCGCCATATTGGCAGCAGCCGCTTTCATTGTTACTCTCATTGTTTAGGGGGGGGGATTATGTGCGCGTATAATTTACGCGGCGCTTGCTTCATATTAACGCGGAGAGGAATTTTAGCTGTCCGCACCACGAGAATTTATTAAAAATATTCTTTACGTAAAGTGCGGGGAAAATTAAGGACGAATATAAAATTTCGCGGTGACTTACGAAAATATTTTGCATATTTCAATTTCGCTTCGAGGCCTTTTATCATCGCATAAAACAGTACTCATTATTTAGGCTAAATTAGAAAATACGATAGCCGCGCAAGATTAAAAAGTACATGGCTGTAAAATTATTAATCCCACTTTATGTAAGGAATGTTAAGTAACAGTTGTTTTCAGCCATTCATTTTTCGAATAATTATGTCATTAAATTTTCTATAAATACATTTTCGTTAAAATTTTAATAACACTTTATTTTTCAATAAAATACCTATATAAGAGTATATAATTGTTACTAATGAAAACTGTATACTTTGCTCACTCAAATTGTTAATTTTACAATACTAATGCCTACGTTAATATTTTTATATTAGTCGTATTAAATTCAGCTGATATAATCATTAATATTTCAATTTATATTCGTTTTTTTTTTACACTCCATGCCAATGTACAATAAAAATGATATTTCATTTACAAATCTACGTATTATTATTTTCACTGGAATACTTAATTAAAAAGTCAATATATTTAGCTGTCATTATTAAAGAGTATTAAAGCAATTATTGTTTGCCAAATATAAATAATAAAGCATTATTTTGTATTGAACGTATCGTGCGTTTAACTAATATTTACATATTTTAATGCTAATGAAGTATGTTTTTGTGCCTCTGAACAATACTGAATGTTAAATTGAAGACTTAGATTTTATGCATCGCAGTAGATAATAAATAAAAATGTTCATTCTATAAATGCCTTCGTGTAATTGCAAAAAGTATGTTACATTCTTGTAAATCTACACTGACGCATGTAAAATCGAAAGGAAAAAGTAGCATGTTGTATTAAGGATTATTAGCATAATTTTTATGTAGTAATTTAATGAATATTTTTTGTACGGTATTATCGTACAATTTCAGCACTTTTAAATATCCATAATTATTTTATGTAATGCAAATGCAAATACTCACAAAACTACTTTAGAACATATTAAACAATAAAAATTATATAACAAAAAACATAAAAGAATAAATTAAAATTATTATATAGAACTTTTAAGATTAGTGTGATTATTCTTTTACTGATACAAGTGCAATTAATATCTACAATATATTGAATTGATCGGTTTATTGAAAGTGCTGCCGTCAGCATATTTTCAAAGACATATTTTAAATAGATTTAATTTAATTTTAATGACGGACAATTTTCAAGATTTTCCCTAAGTGGTTCTGCAGGATTGACTTATTTTATGTCACTCCATATACTATAGAAGACTATAAAAGAGACTTTGATGACCGATGAAATTCATATTATGAAAGAAACATGTAATTGCGATTCATATAACGTACATTTTATAAACAACTTTGAAATGTAAAATAATTCTATTAAGTGTATAAAAAAAAAAACTGCTTAATTCAAATATGATATGTGGATAAGAATTGAAAAATTGACTAATAATAATGCTTATTTTGATCCAATGGACCGTTACTACGTAACTAAATGCTTTGAATAAAGAATAACAATTTATTGAACTTTTATTCTTTTTATCATTCATTAATTTATTACAAGAAACTTAAAAGAACAATATTTAACGACTATTTTTTTAATAAAATTTATATATTTTTATGCCTTCAACAGTTGGAATAGTCAAGAAATCGTAATTATCGGACACAATTTAATGATATATATATATAAACATTATTTTATGTATTTATTTTAAGCTGAGTATATATGGCTATTTATTTCACAACTTTTTAAACTACTTACATTGGAAGTTAATAAGTAATATAAAATAATTGATAACTAAATGGAAATATTAAATATACTTTTAGATTTACAAATCGTGTGTACAACTTTGTCGTTATGCGTGAATCTTCCTTAAATAACATCATAAATAGTAAAGAATTTTCTATTAATATTCAAAAATGTTGCATAAAACATGGGGCGGGCAGGGGAGGGGTAAAATCCATAAAAAATGAACTACAATTAAGATTTTTAAGTAAATTATCATTTTATTTCTTTACAATTCGATCACAGAATTGTCGGAGGTGCTGATTGAAATACTTTGTTGAGATTAAATGATATTCCCGCGACTTGACTTGGCAATTTTTTTCCAAAAATTTTTCAAAGATCTTCTTAATTATCACACAATGATTCGTAATATTAATTTATTAATGATACATTTTGACATTTGACATATAAGAACTTGTTTCTATGATATTATCTTAAAAGTTCTATTTATACCAT